TATCTTGCTTCTTTTTTACTTGGCAAATGAGACTATAATTTATTAAAACATAAATGTAAGCTAGATGTAATTTATGCCTTAATTCTTTCCATAAAATTGTTTTCTGTGCCGTTTTTATAAGGCAGATTTTTCTAGAGAACTCTTCCAAAACCTGATGCCTGCATGAAAAAGTGGAACAAAACCATGCAACAATCAATCAATCTGCTCCAAGACTTTTGGCACTAATAATAAAATCAATACAATAAAATTATTAAAATGTTCATTTTAAAATACCACAAAAGAACAAGAGTGATGTAATATAACTGCTTAACAGATGACAAAGCTCTGGTAACATCTCTAAATGCTCTATATGAGCTCCATTTTAACTTGAAAGGCAGGGAGGCTATACCAGAACACTGGAGCCAAAATGGACTTCCAGGCCTCTTCCCTTCTACTCCCCTCCACCCTTGCAAATGGAGCACCAAGGTGATTGAGATCCAGTGTATTTTAAGATTTTCCTCTAAAGAACTCAAAAACTAGTGCTAGGAGAAAATTATAATTAGCATCTAATATTCAATGTAAAAAGTTGGAGGAACCAGAATTTACCATAAAATCCCAGAATATAAGGATGTCCTTGGGGAGGAACAAAGTTCATTATAATTGCTTCGGTAATCCAATCCTTCTAACATATTTCCCAGGGAAAATGACACTGCATAAAATTGGTTTAAGGAAGCCACTCTTCTTAATATACATATAATTAGGCTGACTTTAAAAAGATGCCTCTGTTTATACTGTCGCTATGTGATTGTAGGTATATTTATTAACATACCAATCTCTAAGTGAAATCTAGTTTCCAAATCTTAAAATGGTCTGATCCATGTCATGCTATGTTGATACTTTGCAGAAAATTAACACAGAACTCCTAAAACACCAAATAAATGAATTATCCACCATTTTTAAAGTTTTTCTTTCTGCCAACTATCTATATAGTGCATTAAATAGATCTTAGCTATGCAGGACATACAAATATAACTTCCCCTCCTATCAATAAAATTTTATTCTGATATAATCATTAAAGGAATAGAAATAATTTAAGGTTCATCATCTTATGTTTCTTATACCAAACCCCATGGAGTGGGGGGTAAAACAGGGTAAAGGAACGTTTTAGAAAGATGGAAGTAAAATTAATTACTTTATTTGTAATCTGTTGCCCCTTTGAAAAGCTTTTTGATTGGGAAGGCCATTAAATTGCATTTAGTGGTTATAATTACATAACCTCTTTCATCCAGGAGTTCAAGTAGTTAAATCCTAGATAGTCAGATTCTAAGGTTCCAATTTTACATTTTAATAATAATTTAATATGTGATGGCTGATCACTTCAGTAATTTCTGGCAGCTTACAAAATCCAAATACATAGTGAAAACAATTAAAAACATAAACCAACAGTTCAATTCAAAACAACCAAAACTATGAAAACACAAGCAATTAACCTAAAGTCTGGGAACAGAGTCAGGTCTTAAAAGTGTTTTCCCAAATTGCACAATGGCAGTGTCCATATCTCTGAGGGGATTCTTTTCCAGAGGTAGGCGACAGTGACTTAAAAGGCATGCTTCAACGGTCCCACAAGATGTTTAATTGAGGAGACCCAGAGTTCACCCACTCAGCCCAAACATAATGGGTGAGCAGAAACATTTGGAGATGAGGCAATCCCTCAGATATCCAGGCTTGAATGGCACCTGGAAGCCTACTGGCAACCAACACAAATTGGGACTCATGAGCATAATGAAAAGTGCCCATTATTGCTCAAGTTGCAGCATTTTGAAGCAGTTGAGGCTTCCACATGGTCTTCAAGGGCAGCCTCATATAGAGCACATTGCCATAATTATAAGGTGGTCAGGGCATGTATGACCATCCAGGGTCTAGTTGAGGAAAGGCTGCATTTCATTATGTTATTTTGTTAACATATTATTTCTAAAATTGTGCTTCTTAAAAAGGCCTATATTTGATAACTATTTTTTTTAATCAAAAAGAAGAAAATCCTAATTTAACATTCTAATCCCATCCATGTATCAGCAATGGCTGTGTAGACCATTATGTCGAAGTATAGAAAGTATTTTATACCCACAACCCACCATGCAACACAAAGAATTATTCTGTCCTGGAGTAAATTGTCAAGAAAGCAACATCCAAATAATTTATTTGATTTCTGAATCTGTATATACTGAACAGTGCAATACATAAACATGAGATAATACACTTCTTCAAAAAATAGCAAGTTCCAACCACGTAGTAGCTTGTTCTCAAGTTTAACATACAACAGAATATGTACCAACTACAGGTCTAGTGCCCAGAGAAAGCTTAATTATAAAAGCTGATTACAATGGTTTGCCAATCATATTGGAATAGTTAGTTTCAAACTGCTCAAAACAAAATTGTTTTGTGATTGCTGGCAAAGATACCAGAAAGCTATCAGGCGGCTATTTAGAGCAACAGAACATCTAAAGCAATACAATCAAAATCATGATGTATTTGAGTAGAATTACATGTGTTTCTTACCCTAAATACTATGGCACTGCACAAAAACCTTTATATTAAAAAAAACACCCTCTGATCTGGTCCAATGCAGAACTGCAGAATAGACTGTTAAATCTTTGCAATGGAAAATATGTGCTGTAACTACTTGCATGTTAAGTAGAAAAAGAATGTTCTTAAATGCGCAAACCAAATTTACAATGTTTCATTTTGGTTTATCATATTTACTTTTTCATATTTATTCATGCAAAAATCAGATTTATAGTTATACCAAGTAACTTAATATAGATCAGCAAAGCACACTTAAATTTGAGAGCTAGAGATTATTTTTAAATAGAAAAATGGAAAATTATGCTCTTAGTACAATATCTACTGTAATTTTATTACACATTCTCTTTAAAACCTGCAGCTTTTATAAGGTGCAAGAGTCATGGGAACTGTAAGAATGTCCCTGTGTACTAGAAGCCTACATGTTGAAGCATTGCAGTTATGTGTAAAATATGAGCAGAGGGTTAATAGAAAATCTTAAAGTTAAAATACCAAAAAACCAGGATGTATGTGGCGCAAACTAGAATAGCATAAAGGAAACAGCTGAGCTGTTTTTACAGTTTGCCATTCTTTTTAAACCACTCACTATGTGATTGCAGAACGTTCCCCCAAATGATTGCTAGACTTCTTCAGAACTGCATGGGAATAAATGACTTTCGCCTCTTCCACTACAGTTGGAATTTACTGAAAAGATTTTTTTCCATACAAGATACTACCTGCAGTAAGTAGTAACCAATATTATGAATGTTTCTGAAGCATAAACAGCATAAAAACTAAATCCAAATATAAACTTTCTTTCTGCTACAATTTTCAACATCAAATGTAATGCTGTTCCCCAAACACTGAAGCTTATTTTATGGAATCCAGGGAAGTAAAGAGAGAGGAGAATCAGCAGTAATCATCTTTCTCTTCCTTTCACAAAGGTATCTTCTGTGAAGAGTTTTCTGTGAGCTGAAGGACAAGTAGATACACAGCCAATTATTTATTTGTTCCCTAAAAAATACATGTCTAATCTGCCATCTCATTTCAGAGTACTCAAATAAGAAATAGCTTCCACATGGAAGTGGAAGAAGGGGAAAAGAGACTGGAAGAAAAACACTTGTATTACTGTTTTGAAAGTTATATTAATGGGGAATCCAAATCATGTGGAAACTATGTGTGCAGGGTGTGGGATCAAAATCATGTAAGTAGAATGAAAACTTCTAATTCAAGTGTAAATATCTTAATCCGATATGGTAGACAATTTAGGACCCAAACTAGTACAAAAGAACAAAACAGTACAAAAAGATAGAAGCAATCATTTTAAGCAATGAGAAAAAGGACAACATGAAGTTGCTGATGATGAAGTTACCAAAATGCTTATTAGTCCATTTTGGACTATTAACTGTTCATTGACACAGATTCACCAAAATATTAGGACAACAAAAATACATCAAGCTTAAAAAAAAACTTTTTGTGCAACAAGATCAAAATTAATTTTAAGGTAAATTGAGCTACTACTCTTTTTTACATCTTACAGAAATGAAACACACAGAGATCAGAGAATTGAGCCAATGAGACTAGGCCAAGGACAAAACTAAGCAAAATGGAGGTTGCTGTCATCGAGGTTTTAGGTGTTTGCTAATATCACAGTAGAGACTTACAAATATGATAGCTTTTTTAAAGCTGTAACTGATAATCCATACTACAGAAAAAACTTCACTGAAAAACACCATGAAAAACTACAGCAGTCATAAGCTACAAGGTGCTACAAATTCAAAGGTCATTTAAAAGGCACTTGTTTCTGAAGAATAAGCCTTGTGCCTTTTAATTCTATACTAAAACTTTATTCATAGACATCAATGTAATATCTCAGCATGCATTAATCATGTATTGTAGAAATAATATTCTACAAGCCAATAATTTTGATTATATGGAGATTGGATTAGAAACATGTTATTCTACATATTAATCAACTGCAGATTTCTGGATGATACTAACAATGCATTCTAAAAATATAATTGCTGTTGATTTCTCCTATTCCGAATAGCAACGGGGAAAAATTATTGCTAAACTGACATAAGTTTAGTGTATTCAAAAATATTATCAGATACTGTTAATGAATTATGAGACTTCAGTGAAGGCAAAAAGGTAATAGAGGACAAAATGTTAAAAAAACTAAAGCAACATTTTCTTGTATACTTAGGAATAGTACATATAACCTATTCAGAATAGTTAAAGTAATATATAACAATGCTTTTGTTTTTTAAATTCTGTTTTCTGAAATGTTTAGTCATTTTGATGGATTGAAAGATTTAAAAAGTTAAAAGAAATATCTGCTGCCTTCATAAATCATGAACAGCCATTTGGAAAATAAAACAGTTTTAATCAACACTCTTAAGCTATAATAACAGCACATGAAATCTTAGAAAAAGTAACATTTTTGTGTCAAGCTGAGTCTGGAGAAAGAATTGATGAATCAATCTAAAAAATGCAAGGAATGTTTGACAAGTTGCCCAATATCTACCAAATCATCACAAAATTAAAGGAAAATATCTACACAGCTATTAAGATCCCAAATTCAGAATCATTGATTACTGAAAAGTTCACCATAATTCAGAAAATATATATTCAACTTATGCTGTGCATTCTATCTTTAAAGTACCATTTCTATATTCTGGTGTTCCTCTAGTTTAAAAAGGTAAAGGTTCCCCTCACACAAATGTACTAGTCGTTCCCCACTCTAGGGGGCAGTGCTCATCTCCGTTTCAAAGCTGAAGAGCCAGAGCTGTCTGAAGACATCTCCGTGGTCATGTGGCTGTCATGACTAAACGCCAAAGGCGCATGGAACGCTGTTACATAATGAGAATTCCAGAATGTGCAAGGTGATCGACTGTAACTCTGTTAATTCTGAAATAATCCTATGGAAATCAGAAGAAAGTATGCAATTACAAATTTATATCTATATTTCAGATATGTTCATGTTTCATATTATGCCAAACTATTAAAAAAATCTCAGATGAAAGATCAGCAAGATTAAATCAAACACACAAAACAGCCATGAGTAATTTGCATTTAATCCTTTGGATTGCGACTGGATTGAACCAGACAACTGCAAACATCTAAACTGGTTTAAGGCTGACTGACATTTGCACTGGATTTTCTCATTAATTTTGCTTTGATTTTACAAGACTGTATTTTGTCTTGGTGTAGAATTTTATATAGAAAGCTTTAGGCAACAGCTGGAGATGCAGTTTTGGGAGTCTTCTTCACAAATCATGCAAACAACAGAAAACAGGCTATGACAAAAACTGTAACATAATTGGACTGCCTTCACTGCCTGATTGCACGAGCAGGAAAAAGTTGCTGCTTAGCCCAGTCCAACTTTTACTCAACCTCAAACAGATGAGCAAATGATGGAACTGTTAGTCTTATAGTAACAGGGAGACTGACTGTTATAAAGTGCAAGAGAGAAACCAACATCTAGCACACAAGACCAATATTATTTTAGTACTCCCATTCATCAGTTTTCATGTCCAAATAGTAAAGAATGTTCTGTGCAAGCTTCACTGCCTGTTTCCTGGATACTTTTGAATGCTCATCTCGAGGATCTATAGCATCAAGTGCTAGAAGCTGTTTGGTGAGGAGCTCCTCTAACCGCATGTAGTTCTTATCAGTTCTGTTCCCATCAAAAGACAACACCTCTTGCTGAATCTGAGCTACGTTTCCAAGAATATTCCAAATTGCTCTTTGTGATGAGACGTCTGTTTCTGTTTCTGTTTGCTCTACAAAGGTTTGTTGTTTAAGAAGTGCTTCCTTTAAGTCAGTATAAGTTATGAGGGTTTGCACTTCTATCACGGCTCGCCTCCTGGCTTCTCGGATGCAGGGATTATTGCCTGGACTTATTTCATCCAACTGGGCGATTAACCCCTGCAACTCTGTCTTTGACTTTAGATACAAATCTGAAGCTTTCTCTATTTTTAAAAGGGAACCTTTAACTTCTTTCATGTTATTGCGTATTTCTTCTATTTTTATAATGGATCCGTTTTGTGCCAAGTCATAAGCATAAGTGGAATCTGCTTCTTCTTCCAGATCCAGATATTTTTGCAATCTATTGATCTCTTCCACTACTTCTTTACGATAGTTTCTTATTTCTGGGTGACCACATACATCTAAGGCATCCAGATCAGCAATCAGACCTGTGAGTACACAGGATAAATGTCTACAGGTCTCATTGTTGTTTACTCCCATTAATACAGCAATAAGAGTCCCTTTTGCTTTGTTCACATCTCCTATGACAGAATTAATTTTGGAAACAGAAGGATGTGCATCACTAGACAATGGCAGGGAAGGCTGCTGCTTTGTACAACGACTTATAATTTCTTGAACAGCACATATTTTGGTCAGGGTGCGATATCTGGCTTTCCGCAGAGAAATTTTCCCTCCAGTTTTTACCTGAGTGAGTCTAAAAATTATATCCTGTAAACCTTCTTCAAATTCCTCAGTTACACAGTTGCCTCCTTTATAAAAGGCAGTGATTTCCTGCTCCACCAATGCCTGTGCCTCGTTAAATATGGATTCGATCTCCAGCCTTTGGGGATGGTTTGCATTCTGCTCTAGTTCCTTAAGCAGTTTCTCAGTTTCTTGGGCAGCCCTCTTTCTGGCTTGCTGAACATCACCTCTTCCTTCAGCATCCACAGAATCTATTTCAAAAAGCTGTTTAGTCAAAGTCCTTTCTAATTTCTTGTAAGCTCTATCACTGGACAAACCACTGAAGGCTACTACTTGAGATTCAAACTCTTTGACTTCTTTTTGTATTTCTTGCAGCCTTTTGATAGATGGATGTTGGTTACCCATATCCATTCTTTTTCTTCATCCAGTTTCAACAGAACTAAAAACAATGGAAAACAGAATAAAATGTAACAGATTGTTTGAAAATATTCTAAGAACATGTATGTGCAGTTGGAAGTACTCAAGCAATATTCCACTATTGTTTTGAGAGACAATACAGTACAACACATCAGTTTGACGATATCATAGCTGTAATATTGAAAGATTCTGCCAGTTGCTTTAAATCTGATGCATATTATGAACTTACAACATCTCTAATTAAATTGGTCTACCCCTTGCCAAAAGTAAAAAGTATAAACTAAAATGTTCCAAGCAGAGTGGTTTCTTTCCCCAATCTCTTTTAAATACCACAAGCAAGTCATAACAAGTGCTGATGTATTGAAGAAAAAAACAGTACCAACTGCCTCCCCATACAATATCCTTCTAGTAATCAAAAGCAGATAAAATAGGAACAAAAACAGATATATCTCTTGTTACCCTTCTTTGGTCATCCCAGGGAAATACGGAGTTATATTTTTGCCTTTTCCTCGTTTCTCCAGAAATAAAGACAGTCCTCCTCGTCATTTCAAACTGTACTGGCCAGGGTGTCAATACTTTTGAGTCCGGTCCATCGATTCCTCTCAAAACACACTGCGGCCATCTATCTCTACCAGCTACCACTTGGCACAGAGCGAAGCTGCAACTCATTCAGCCCCGATACTTATTGCACCCCCAACCCTCCCGGGTCCGCCCTATTCTTACCCAGTGAGAAGCTCTTCGGGGGAAGCGAGTCCCCGTGCACAGAGCTTGATCCCCCGGCCCCTGTCTCAATCCTACATTCCTGCAGGAAGGTAGCCAGGAATCAGCCCCGAGCTCGGGCCGCTTCCCCCAGGTAGAGCGCGCCGACAACCTCCCCGCCGTCCTCTCTCTGACCCCCACCTCGCCGCCCCACGCTCCCCCCCCCCACCAGTGACTTCACAATGCTGCACAATCTTAATTCCGCTTTGGCCACCGGGGCGCTTCTCCGGGAACGGCTGAAGGAGAAGGAGGGGAGGCCGCTTGGGGCGGGGGTGGGAGGAGAAAGGGGAGGCGGAGAAAGCAAACGGGTTCGAGTTCTGGAGGAGACGAGAACAGGGGGTCCCCCTCCCCGCCCCGTTCGCCAACACCCTTGATCAACCTGGAGCTATTTACCGGGGGAAGACCCATCCGCGCCGTCACAAGCTCCGCAGAGGTTTTCACCCCACCCCCCACCCCGACGCGGCTCTTCCCATCTGCTTCCTAAATCTCGCCCTCTCCCCTCCCCCTGCTGGGACTCCGCCGCCGCCAGCTGCGCTACACGCTTAAAAATAGTCGCCCCCGCCCCCTGCACGCCGCTGCTTCAACGCTTGCCAAGTAGTGCGGGCACGTCGCCTGATCTGACGCAGAGCGGGTCTCCCGAGCAGCTCTCCCGCTGCACTAAAAAGGGGGGGGGCTTGGACCCAACACGAGGCGAACAGCCGCTTGGCCTACCCGCCTTGGGAGACCCTCCCTCTCTCCAACCCCCCCCCCCCCACACACATGACCCTTGCCTAATCCAGATTCGTCCCTCCATGGGCCCCGATAAACGAGGACTTCTCTGCACCTTTTCTCTCTCTACGGCCCACCTTGACAAAAGGAAGGGGTGGGGGAAGAAGGCAGGCAGGCATAGGGGAGGACGCCACAGGACCGGAAAGAGGAAAGGGCGGCAATTGAGGTCGTTTAGACTAGAGCAGCTTTCAGGTCACCCCTATTGGCCGCGGGGTTTTGCCGAGCCCCCCCCCCCCCCCGCCCCCCGGCTTGTTTGATTCGGCCCCTGGCTCGCCAACTTCGTCGGAATGCCAGTCTTCACAATCGCCCACCAAGCAGTCTTACCAGGCCTGCCTGCCTTTGCTTTCCTCTTCACCTCCCCCACCTCGGTTTGAGAAGCCTTGTACCCGCTTCCACGCTCCCAATTAAACAGCAGCCGCCCGGGCATGTTCACTATCACTCGCCCAGCTCCTTCGCCCCGTCGGCAAGCACCAGCCTCCCTGCCTTCCTTCCCTCCTTATCCCGCAAGTCTTCTCCCCTTCACCTTCCACTCCATACTTTTTCCCCGCTCCCGCGACAACCGCGAGTCAGGTAATTCCAACTAACGTCGCTCCGCTCTTCTAGCTCCCTTCCTTCGAACCGACGTTGCGGGCTTTCCATTCTCTCCCTCCCGCTTTCCAATCCCCACGTTATCGTCCTTCGGAAGCGCACAGCAGGATGGGAGTTCTCCGTAGCACCTTCGCCGCCACGTCCCTCCCCCCTCTCCGCTCTCTTTCTCACCTCAAGGATGGCTCGAAAATGACCCGGCCTGATCGCAACACTCCCGCCGCCAGGCCAGCTCGCGCGCTCTCCCGGCGATCGATAACGCCGGCGCCATTTGAGGCAAAGAGGAGAGCGCGCGAGAACTGACAGGGAAATCTCCCTCCGCCCCTCCCCTTTCACGACGTTGCCGTAAAGTGACGGGCGCGTTCAGTTCTTGCGGCTGTGGGGGCTGTTTAGTCCTCGCCTCGGTCTGTCCGGGATGGCGGCACTCTTGAGGAGACGAGGGTTTCTATACAGCCTAGGCGGTTGCCGGTACTTAGTCTCGACCTGCTTCGGCTGCAGGTTTTTGTCGTCCTCAGTCTCCGGGGGGCCTTCGCAGGGCGAAGATCCGGAGAGGAAGAGCGCGCCCTCGCCTCCCAAGACAAAGGTAACGCGGAGGAAATAAGGGGCTAAGGTACCCAAGTGCCCTGTCAAAGTTTCGTAATTCCGTTCGTCTGGTTCCCAGCCAGCGTGACTTGACTGCGGGAGGGCACCGGGTAACCATCTGCTGTCATAGAGTCGGTGGCTTGGTCCACATAGCCCAAGTTTTAACGATAATCTGGTTGCATTTGCGCGTTTTGTAAATCCAGCCAATTGTGATTTATTCATCAGATCTTGGTAAGCAAATGAAGGAAGCTGCTTGGAGTTAATGAAATGATGGTCTCTTATCCTGGACAAGGCACTGTGCATAACTTGTGGGTTAAGGTATAATATTTCCCCTTTTCGGTTTTCTTTCTGTGACAGAAAAAGATCAGGTTGCCTCTCGTTGATAGGAGATTGTTTTTTCATTACACAAAAATGTTTTCTTCTGTTCAAAGCACTTTTAACCACTTCGGATGTCTTTAGTAATCTGTGCTCTGCTAACTGCCTAGATTACCATTTTGCACTGTGTGTAAAGCTGATTTTGAAAACAGTTTGGAAACGGTGATACCAAGTGAACTGTCTGGGACTAAATATTCACTTCATGGTCTACATGACTTCAATTTAAGAAGCCGATTTTAACTCCTGAATCTCTCTATATTTTGGAACTGCCTAAAGAAGAGTAGATCTTTAGACTATCCTTCCCCACACTTTCCAAGAAATATATGGAGAACAACTACCCACTCTGGCATCAGTGGGATAGTGGTTATGCCATCGTAATCTAAGTTCTGCCTTCCTTTCTATAAGTGTTTATAAAGGGATGGGGCTTGGATCATCACATTAAGTACATTATCCTCCCTTCTGATACCCTTCTCCACCAGTGCCACTATCTTATCTGTAATGGCCCCTAGATCTGGAATGAGGGAAGCCTACTTTGTTAGCTTTTGAAGCTTTAACACAATGTCCAAAAACTAGAAATAAGAGTCAGTAACTGTATTGCTGTTCCATTTATCGGCAATAATATTTTGGGTTTTTTCGCCATGTTAGATTATAGTTAGATTAGTCTCAATTTTAAATTACAATTTCAGAATACTGTATTACAGTATCGAGAAAAAACTCTTGAAGGGCAGCTTGTAAAATGATTTTAATATCCCCACAATTCTTTGTTAAAATTACAAACAGTTGCTTTAGTTTATCTGTCCTCCATGAACTTTACTCCTTTGTAGTATTTTGTTTTGTACTTTATTTTCTTTTTTTTCCAATTGAGCTACTCCTTTATGGGGAGATTAGTTTTTCACTTGAAGTTTTCTTGTTAAAAATAGGATCTGAAAATTATAGTGGGGATGTTCAGCAGTGCATGATATCATGGGTTTGGAACTGAACATTTGGGCCTTTGGGGAATTAAGGGCAAACTAGAGATATTAAGTCTTATGGAGACATCATAAACCACATCTGTTTTCTATCAGGGGAAAACAAATTGGGGATCTATGTATGACATTTGGAAAATTGTATGTATTGTATTGATTGCCTGTCCCAGTTGTCTCTTTTTCTATGTTTTAATTTGATAGCATTCTTTTTTTAAAATATTTGTTCTGATTATTTCATTTCATCACCATTATCCTATTTGATGTTTGATAAACTACAAGATAGACATAAGATTGAATTTTGTCCAGTGTTAAATGTTATTCTTTAAAAAAAATTCTCACCTTTATAATTGTTTGTATAGCTTGCTTCTTTCATTTGGGAAATGTAATGTTGAAATAATTTGTGATGCTTTGTATTATTAACGCCACCTCCTCTCTCTTTTAAGGTTTCACGTTTTCACCCGCCTTCAGATTCTTGCTGTGATTGGATTGGACCTCCTGATCAATATTCAAATCTTCGACCAGTAATATTTTATGTTCCTAAACATGAAACTCCATTGGAGCGAAGACTGAGAGAACTTAGGCAGGAAACCCAGGCTTGGAATCAAGAATTCTGGACAAATCAAAATTTATCATTTAGAAAGGTAGATATATAAAACCACCAGGTGGCACTAGGTGTCCTTTTAAGGCTTGCACAATATTTGTTTTAAAGGAATGATATTATTCAACTGTTCAATATACAATTCATTTTTATATTTGTGATATTTTAAATTTATTTTTCATTTCTAAATTACTCCAGTACCAATTATGAAGTCTTACTGTCATAATTATTTGTTTACCCTAAGCTAGAGCCAGTGTATTTTTTTGTATTTTTATTGCTGTACAAATGTGTTAGTCTTAAGTAGGTCCTCTCTGTTTTAATATCAAAATGAATAGATAGCTGCTGAATTTTTTGTTACAGAATTGCATTTGCTGAAGATACATTAATCTCTGTTTTGAAGAGAATCTTATCCATCAGTTAAAATATTAGATGGAGTGGATTTTGCAATGACTATTATGATTGATAATAGTCACTTATAAGATGATACCAATACACTAAGAACCAGTATATTATAATATTATTGAATCCTATTTCAGGAAAAAGAAGAATTTGTTTGTTCTAGACTGAAAGCCAAGGGTATACAGCCAAGAGATGAAAAAGGTTAGATCATTAATTTTACGATTTGGCATACATTCTTAAATGATTTATATTATTTGTGGATTTCAAATCTAACCATTCATACACACACACACACACACGCACACACACACACACACTTAAATCTACCCCCTATATATATATATATATATATGTTTTCTTAAGTTTTCGCGGGTACTTACATGTATGGCATTCAGTTTCGTTCGGGTAGCCTGATGATGCCAGATGAGATTCTGCCTAAACGTTGCTACAACTTTAAAAGCACAACTACAATGACGTGGGAAAATACCCGAATGAAGCCGAATGACATACATACATATACATATACATACACACACACACACACACACATATACACGCACATACGCACGCACACATTAGGCTTCTTGAGAGTGAAGTTATAAGTTAGAGAACTTATGATACAGAGTAATATAACTAAAATTCAGTTACAGAGGAGCTGAAAGAACTCCATAACTTTTCATGAATTTGGAGTGAGTCTTAGTTATAAAAAAAAATATTTTTCTTCTCCGCTTAGTATTATTCATTTAACCCAGGCAACTCAACCCATGATCATAGGCCCAGATGCACCCCTGGACAGCTAGTAAGGCATACCCATAGATTGTAAACTGAGAGGGGTGGAGAGAAAGAGAGAGGGGGGGGGGGGGGAGAGAGAGAGAGAGAGAGAGAGAGAGAGAGATGAGGCCCAAGATAATTCCTCTTTACTCAGTACAGCATAGGCAAGCCAAAATTTTGGATACTTACGTTTAACCAGTTACTACTAATGCTACTGCTTGAATTTCATACAGCATTTTCATTTTACAGGATTCATACAGATCTTTAATGTGAAGAGAACATTCCTAAAATAATACAACTGTTCTGTGGAGGGTTGTTTGTGTTTAAAAGAGATCATAGGGAGCCATAAATCTATAAATATGGATAACCTGCCTTCAATTTCAATTTGATATTAAACCTGTCATAATAAAGAACAAATAAATTAACCATTAAGGTTTTTTCCTGATCTATAAATTGTGGTTTCATTTCCTTTTCAGGTCAGAAAGCATCACTGACTATAGAGGAAATGGCTGAATTTTACAAAGATTTCCTAAGTAAAAACTTGGAAAAAAATGTATACTACAATAGGTGAGAGATACTTTTCAGGATAGTTTTCTTTCCTTATTTTTCAAATCAGTTCTATCCTTCACTTTCATTGATTTCTTTAAGACCAATTTGTTTAATAACATTTTTGGAATTGTTTCCAAAAAGCTGACTTTACCTGTTTCTCTCTTGCTATTCACCTACCAATCTGTATTGTATTTTCTATATTCTTAATATTTCTTCATTGACTGTTTCATCTAGTGCAGTAGGCTGCGCATCAGTCTCATACTCTACGTAACTGATAATAGCAGGCCCTGAGGCAGATATCTCGAGGCCTAGAACGTTCAGTTGTATTCACTGAAATATGCAGAAAAGTGGGGATATGAAATAAAAAAAATAAAACTTTGCTTGAAATCATGCAGATTTTGCATACATCCACAGATAGTACAGAGTAGGGTATTTTTCTAGAAAGGTACTTTCAACAGCACATTGTTAGGGTTCATTTTAATTATGCAAAGACAGAAGTTTTCCCCCCTAAATATTTATCTTCTAAGGATGACTGATTTTGCTATGTTCATTTGCTTCTCAAATGTAGGGAATGGTACAAACGGAATTTTGCTATCACATTCCTCATGGGACAAGTAGCATTTGAAAAAGCATGGAAGAAATTTGGACTGAAATGAAATGCAAACCAACAGCAACTTTGGGTAAATTTGATTCTTAAGTTGCAGCTTTGACA